AGATTCACTCGAAGCAGATCTTTTTTCTTCCTTCCCCACAATTTCTCATTTCATAGGTGAGTGGATCCTGATCTGGAATTCCTGAGCCCTTGCTCACTGTGGGATATTAGATGGGAGTGACAGGAAGCCCAGACAGGAGGGTAAGCAGGCCCACACCCTGATGGATACCAGAGCTGCCTCACTAACCAGCCTGCTGGACAGAGAGGAGATTTTACAGGGCATCTGACTCTGATGTCCCTGCTCACTTTAAAGGATATCTCACTCTGATAACAGGGAGCTTTCCACCCAGTCTGGAAAGGCTTTGCAGCAAGGCCTCCATAGGATTCCCTCTTACTCCTTTGCAACAGCCCTTTGACTCTCACCAGCCCAAATCTTCAGCCACCAGAGCTTTATCTGAACCAGAGTGTGACACACATTAGGGACCTCAGCACGAGGCCTTGATAATCTTTGTGATTTGCAGTGCAGACCCATTGTAGGGCCCAGGAAGACTTTCAGGTTGGACAGCATGAACCTGCCTTCAGCTGATTACATCAGATAGGGCAACAAAAAACACACTCTGCAGCTCAGTGCCTGCAGCTGCACAGCAGACACAGCTCCTGCAGCTCCATCCTGATGCTGTCCAACCATGTCATTATCTTTTATTGTGCTTATCAAATAACACCTGCCACAGACCAAGGCCCTGCCGAGCTGTGCTGCACAGAGCCAGAAGCAAAAGACCACCCTATCCCCAAAGACATTAATCCAAGTAAAATATCAGACATGACAACTGCACACAAAGAAACAACATTTGAGGATATAATTTTGTAGTCTTTAACTGAATTTCATTATTTGGTGCACCTGAATGTTGGCATTCACTTACTTGCCTTTCATTGTGTCTCATGCTTTTTCCCAGTAGTATTTCAGAAGTTTCCTTCTGACAGCACACATGATTTGTGGTTGTCCCCAAACTAGACTACAAGAGTCTATTAGCTGCACTTGTGGAAGTGTTCCACTGTTTACCTGATAGTGGAACTATTTATTTGGCAGTGGAGAGCAGATTACTCAAACCAGAACACGAGACTAAAGCTCTCCACATACTCCAAGAGGAGTGTGCATGTCCTCATGCCAGGTGTATGTTGGAGTGAGGCCAGTTCTACCCAGATCTTAGGATAGAACCACCATCTCACAATAGAAATGAGTTTAAAAATGCTGGCTTAGTGCTTGGGAAAAAAAAGAACAAACAAAACATCATGACAGCATAAAAGAAAAGGCTTTGCTCTATGAATTCTGGAGTTCAGAAGCTAATATTTTAAACACATCATTCTGTCTAGAGAGGGAGAGAAAGAATTAAAAGGTTATGAACTAAATATGCAACCTTCCAGGCAAAATAAAATTTCAATACCTTTAGATCTGTCTGGGGAGAGTTTGTGATGCTGACCACAGCTGATAGGTCATAAAAGACCACTTCTCCTCAGATCCCCAAAGTGAAGGTGACACTGATGTGTAATGAAGCATTGACTGGTCATTGTCATTGGTGCTGCTCTTCAAGGCCATATTTTAACTGTGGATTTTTAAGAAAGGCAAAAGCTTACAGAAATGGGAGCTGGCAGTGCCCATCTGCTGCTGTCAGGGTTCCTGAGGGCTCCTGTCTCTCAAGGCTGCAGCCCCCCTGTCAGCTGTCACCAAATTAGTGCTTGACTCTGCCATGGGGAGCTCCATTTCCCAGCTCACTAATTTGTGATTGGCATTTCTTGACTCAGATGCTCAGCTGGACGTGGGAGCAGTGCTGGTGTTCTCCAGCCTGGGGATAAGCCGGAGCAGCACAGCCACCATGGCCTATCTGATGCACTCCTGTCGCTTTTCCCTGCAGGTATGTCACTGTCACAGTCCTGCAGAAACTGCCTCTGCACTTCATTGCTCCTTCTGAAGCCCCATCACTGTAGTAATAAGACATTCTCTGTGATTTCATGCACATTATCCACCTGATAATGGAACTGATTATATGATTTGAGATTGCATCTTCTTTAGACAATTAAGGAGGTGGCTTCGGTGTGATTTTGGATATGTGAGTCCTTACTCTAGAACTTGTGATATTTTTGTTTTCCCTACTTAACTAAAGCAAAGCCATGGATACAAAACATGATGTTTTTCTCCTGGATTTGAGGAAAAGAGTGGAAGCTACTGCAGTTAATCCTATCTCTTCATTCCATGGCATTATAGAAGTTCAGAACCCAGTGTTTCCAGGGCTCTCATTTACCATTGACTTCAGCACTGACTTATTCCACAATCCTTTTTTTATTCCTCCAGAAGCAATCTCTTCCCACAGACACTGTGTATAGAAATGTGGAATGGGATAATACTTGCCCAGGAGGGATGTACAGGTCAGATGGCCAGTACAGGCTGTTCCATAGCTCTGAATAATGAAAGAAATTAAAGAAGGATGGCTGGGAATGGCCTGGCTGTGCAAGAGCCTGGTGGCCTCTCCCCTGGTGCCAGGCCTTTCTCCCTTTCCATACAACACACAGGCAGCATCTCCTGGTACCTCCTAACATGAAGCAGGAGAGTTCCCATTGCAACTGACCATCATCTCCTTAAAAACCTCACCCTTGTTTGGAAAGCTGGGGAGCTTGAAGGGATTGATCAAAACTTCACTAAAGCTGGGTTTGTATCTGATAAGGTCATTGATTTTGTGCACACATGTCCAACGTAAGAGGAAAGCTCTTTCCATGGCTGTGTGCCAGTGGGTAATTAGAGGCTGAGGGTGCCAGCAGGGCTCAGACAGGGTTCAATCCCTGCACTAACAGGGCTGTGATTGCTCCTGCAGGCTGATAACAGCCACTCACTCACTGAATCACAGAAAGTGCTTCCAATGGCAGTGCAAAAGTCAAAGCCTGAGCCTTGCCATTCCTCTCAGTTGGCATCAACAGGTTGATCTCAACATTTCACTACATGCCAGAAAAAGAGAGAAAATATTGACAGGGCAGTGCTTGCCCTCTGTTGGCTAGGCAAAGCTTTCCTGAGGGATTACCCTGGCAGACAAGTTTGTTTCTTGCAGACAAAAGCAGTGCAACAGATTCCTGTGTGATCCTCTAGCCAATCCAGACAAAGATCTTTGAAAGCTTCCAAAAAGACAAAAGCAAGGAGTTGGGATGTGCAGCTCCTGCTTCAGTCAGTGAGCAATATGTGAGTAGATCTACTGAGACCAGGGGAACCAGAGACACCCACACTGTTGACTCAGAGGAGTAAATATTGGAATATCAGTCTCAGAGCCTGCAGAATCAGCAAGATTAGAAAAACAAACCAATGGAGCACTATCTGCTGACCTTTGGTCTCATTTCACTTGAGCAACCCTCCAAGTGCAGGGGGCAAGCTCCTTTACAAGCAGGAAGATGAGCACTGACAGGAAAACTCAGGGGTAGAGCTGGAGTAATGCTGGTGGATGTGCCCTGTGTGTGTCAGAGTTTCTAGGTGATTACTTGGAGCTAACAAATAATTAAGATGGCTGTAATTAATACAGTGGGATAACTGCGAGGTCATAACTGCTCTGCCACATCAGGTCACATCAATCCAAAAAAATGATAGCCTTCATTGTTTTATAACCTTAATAGCTGACACTTCACTGCTTTGCTCATCATCTGTGGAAGGAACAGCATTTTAGGGTAGAAAATCCAGGATTGCATCACTCCTCAGAGTAGAATAACGTTAAGTAGTGAAAGCAGCCTGTCCAAGTATCCAGGAGAGCAGAGCATGAAGGGGACAGGTTTCTCTCAGGTTCACATCTGGATCCAGCCTGTCCCCACTTTGGTACCAAACTCTTCTCTGCAGGTTCTTGCTGTCCAGCACAGACAGCAAATACAAAGCTGTTGACTGAAGTGTAACTGCTTTGTGGAAATGCCCATGAGTCACTTACTATTCAACTCCTAACACTTCTTTTCTTTACTTCTGTTTACAGAGAGCTTGGAAATACCTTCTGAAATGCAAAATGAATATGAGACCAAACCGGGGCTTTGTGGAACAGCTCTCAGCATGGGAGAACCAAATCTATGGATGCCCAGTCACAGACATCTCTGAACCAAATTACTGACAGAGAACTTCCCATGGGGAAAGCCACTTCCCTTCCCCTTTCTGAGGAGAAAGTTACTTGAACACTGTGTGAAAAAAGACCCAAATGCTTTCCTCTTTAGCTCCATGTCATTTTGGGTCAAGATTTGGACCCTCCTGAGGAACTCACCTGTGCTAGAGGAGGTGGCAGTTTGGGGAATGCAAGTCCTGCAGGATGTGGCCCATTAGACACAGCTCAACTCTTTTGTAAGCAAAGGGGATTATACCCCCAGCTGTGGGGCAGTCAGGGTTATCTCTCTAAAGGTTTGTTATCCATGGTCTGGAATAATAAATTTAGAGTCTGACAGTGCCCATTTCCAGCCCAGAGAGGTGACAACAGAATTTCCCTGTTTCAAAAGTCTCTGTGCCCTGTGAATGCCTTATCAGTTACTCACAGATATGACCATGGGCTCACAGACTCGCTTGTTGGACTGTTGACAAGTCCACCCTTCCTTTGCTGCCTTCTAATCCTACAACCAAACCTCTGGGCACAGCTGGCAATTTTAAAGCCTCAGTCACAGCTGTCACATGAAACATAAACTCAGCGCCGTCCTCCCTCTTACTGCACTCCGAATTCTGCTTTTTGGCATCACAAAATAAAACACGACAGAAAACACGCCCTGGCTTTGCAGCACTCTGTGTTTGGGATTTAGCGGCGGGTTTGGGTTTCTCATTGTGACACGCGCGGCAGGGCCGGGAACGCACCCCGAGAGCTGCCCGAGCTGAGAGCGAGCTCACACAGCCGGGGGTGAGCCAGCGAAGCGCGGCGATTTCAGGGAATTCCTTCTTTTCCAGGCTCCCATTTAAAGGAAAGGCAGAGCGAGGGAAGCCCCGCCCCGGCCCCGCCCCGGGGCGTGTCCGGAAGGGGGCGGGGCCAGCGCCGCCCGTCGCCGCGGGCCGGGCCGGGCCGGTCGCCGCCGCCATCGCCGCCATGGCCTGGGGCGCCTCGCTCGCCGAGTGCCTGCGCGAGTGGGAGGAGCTGCAGGACGGCTACCAGCGCATCCAGGTACCACCGGGCCCGGCACAGCCCCGGGCACGGGCCGAGGGAGCGCTCCGGCCGAGCGGGGCACGCCGGGGTTACCGGCACCGGGGGTGGGAGATGCCCCAGCGGGTACCGCGGGCAGCCGGGCTCTGCCCGCTGGAGTCCGGGCGCTTTCCCCCCGTGTCCCTGCCCTCGGGTACGAGCCCTGTGCCTCGGGGCAAAGCGTTTCGGAGCAGGGCAGGGGTGCCAGGCTGTGCCGGGGCTCGGGAAGAGCGGGGTACCCCGGTGTGATGCCCCAGCCCGCCGTGGACGTGGCGTGGAGACCTCAGTTGTCCCGGTTTTGCTGCTGGGAGCGGGGAGCGGCAGTGCCTGGCGTGGCACGGCCGGACGAGGTGCGCAGATGTCGTTTTCACTCCTTATCGCTCCTCTCAGCCCGGCTCGGGGCAGCCTGGAGCCGGCCAGCCCCGCAGGGAAAGCGGCCAGCAGAGCTCAGCTCTCCCGGAACCCAGGCACGCTTCAGCCAGGCATCTTGTGCCCACTGCCAGACCCTGTCACCGCCGGGGCTGGCCGGGGGCTCCGTGCCAGGAAGGTGACTGGTGTCAGAGGTGCTTCCACCTGCTTTGTGTAATCCCCAGGGCGCTGCCTGCCGGAGAAGGAGTGGGCAGGGTTCAGCTCACACAGGGTCACCCAAGGGAAAGGTTGGCCAAGCATCTCCTGCTGCCACTCAGGTCACTGGGCTGCAGCTGCACCCGTTCCCTCTCCCCCTCCTTCCCCCGGGAGCGGGGTGAAGCGGATGTTGTTGCGGACACGTCGCTGCTGTGCCCAGATCTGGGGCAAGGGAGGCTTTGAGAAACCTCCTCTTGCTCCATAAGGGTTGCGTGGATGTCCCGGGTCGCCCACTCTGAACCCTGAGTGCAGCCACTCAGCGCCGGCCCTTCCCTTTGGACACCTCCTCCTGCCCTGGCTCCTCATCCAGGCGGTCTCCGAGCGGGGAACTCGGATGCTGGCACGGCTAAAGGACTTGTCACAAAAGCCACTTGCTCAGAGTTAACTCCAGAGCCAGGACGAGGTGACTCTAGATGGCAGCAGGAAAGCTTGATGGTCAAGCAGAGAGTGTCTTCAGATAAATCAGGGACATAAATCACTGCTGTGGAACTGGGACTATCTGGAATCCGTTCCCTCCTTGCCACTTACTGCTTGTACCAGAGGGAGAAAGTTTCCCTCCTCTGCTCTCGGTTTCACCTTTCTCCTTTGGGAACAACTTTTAAGACCTAGTGATCAAGTGGTCGATAAGAGCTACAGAGGTTAAAACTTGTTCGTGCCAAGGTCTAGTCCAAGGGTTGTGGTGAGCAGAGTGTAATTCCCTGCTGGAGGTGGCGTTCAGGCTGCTGTGAGGTGAGGCTGTTTTCCTGCTGACCTGGACAAGCAGCAGCATTGATCCAGCACCTCTCCCCTTTCCCTACTAAATATAGTGGAGAAATGCATCCAGCCTTATCCAGGTATGGTTGGGTTACTGGGCACTTGGCTGCAGCCCTGCTGTGACTCCGTCCTCTTTGTCCAGCTCACTGCCAGGCTCCTTCCAGCTTCCCAGGGGTGCTCAGGTGGTGCCCCAAAGCCATGAGCTGGGAGACCTGGGGGCACCAAGAGCTGCTCATCCTGTCCCAGCATCCAACGCCATTACTCTGAGTGGCCCACGGTTGTACCCTGGCCCACACAGTGTTTATTCCCAAGTCTTTCCTATCTGCTGTGTGCAGTCATTGGTGTCCCAAACATGGGAACATCCCATGGATAGCCTGCTTGGGCTTGGGGATGGGCATCCCCATGGAAGCAGGGCTGGCTGCAGGCTGTCCCCAAACACACCTGGCCTTCTGCAGCCACCTCTCCTCTCACCCAGCAGCTGCACAGATGAAATTAAGGACATTTTTTAACAAAAGCATCACAGGCGGCCCAAGGACGGGGGGCTGGGCAGGCAGCTCTAATGCGTGCTGGTCTCTCCTTCCCAGGACAACCACAAGCTGTACAAGCAGAAACTCGAGGAGCTGACCAAGCTCCAGGATGGGATCTCCAGCTCCATCACCCGGCAGAAGAAGCGGCTGAAGGAGCTGTCGCTCGCCCTCAAAAAGTGAGTCAGTGCTCTGGGAGGGGAGAGCAGCAAGGACGGGGCTGAGCTCACCTCATGTCTCAAATGCAAACCTCTCTGCGGCCAGGTGCTGTGGGGAGGCTGATCTTCCCTTTCCTCTGCCCTGATTTGTGCCCTGTTTGCAGTTCAGAGCTTGCAAGGGTTTTGCAGGTACCCTGAACTGCTCCCCTCCTGCACAAAGCTCCTTCCTAAGGGTGAGAGACCCATCTGGCCTCACCTTGCCCCCTTCTCTTGAGCAACATCACAGCCTGACAGAGGAGCTCGCCCTGCAGATGGAGTTGTGGACTTGCCTCCCATCCACCTTCCCCTGTCCTTGGGGTGCCCTTGCCTGAGTCAGTCACTTGTGGAGTTCCAGCACGTGCTGGTCACATTGCAGAGGCTCTCCTGATGCCAGTGCCTGTCTTTGCTCCCCAGATGCAAAGGGCAGGCGACTCCCGAGCAGGAAGCGTCCATCCAAGAGACCCAGAGCCTGATTAAAGAGAGGCAGAACGTGTTCTTTGAGATGGAGGCCTATCTGCCAAAGAAGAACGGGTGAGAAGGCACCTCAGCTCTGGCTGGGGCACCAGGGCCACCCTCCACATCCCTGTGGCTGTAATGCTGCAGGCACAGACCCAGAGCTGTCACCCTGCAGCCAGCGGTGTCACAGCTGTGCTGCTCCACTGGGGCTCCCCAAGGACCTGGGCAGGAGGCAGCAGTGCTGCCCCTCACTCCCCTGCCTGCTCATGGCCATCACCCACCCTTGGGCAGTGGTTGTGCCTGAGGAGAAGCCCTGGTGAACACCCCAGTGCCTGTGGGAGGTGGGGTGTGTGCTCCCCCACCCATCCCCTGTCCGTGGGAGGGGATTCCAGAGGGTTTGTGCCTGGCAGCTCCAAGTGGAAGCACCTGGGGGCTCATCCCTGGCCCCACTGGTGGCACAAGAGGGGACAGCTCCACAGGCAGGTCCTTGTCCTAATGCTCTGCTCTCTCCCCAGGTTGTACCTGAGTCTGGTGCTCGGCAATGTGAACGTGACACTGCTCAGCAAACAGGCCAAGTACGGCCCCTCCTCACTGCTCCTCTGATTTTCCTGGCTTGGGATCCCCTTGGCACCAGGAACGGCAGCTGAGGAGCTGACACGGGGCTGGCTTGGCTCACCTCGTGTAGATTCCCTTCCTGAACTGTTCTCTGCATCATTTCCTGAGAATCAGCCAAATCCTTGGCTCCCCCTCACATTCCTGCCACTGGGCTGGGACAATTAGCTCTGACAAGTTCATGGGATCCTCACCGAAGCCATGGCCATGTTTCCACTGTATTAGGAACTTCCAGGAAAGACAGACAGTGGATAGTCCCCTCCTCTTCCCTTGGGAAAACACCAGAAGTTGGTTTTGGCCCCTGAGAGCCTTTACCTTGCTAGAGATGCCCAGCCAGGAGCCTCTCCCCTCTCCCTCTGTTCCCCAATCCTCCCCTTGGAGATTTGTGCAGATCCCAGTCTGCCCATCTTCCCCACCACGGCCACCCACCAGGTTGGGGTGGTTTGGGGTGCTCAGATGTGTCCCAGCTGTGTGGGAGCAGCCTGATGTGCTCTGCTCTCAGAAATACCCCCAAGGCAAGGTTCTTCCTGAGTGTGTCCCAGAGATTCCCAGCAGAACATCACTTTTACCCTTTTACTTTTACATTTTACAGCCAGATGGGATGGGAGGGCACAAATTTCCAGCAGACCCCTTGTTCCAAGCCTGTCCTTGTGCTTCCCTGCAGGTTTGCATATAAAGATGAGTACGAGAAGTTCAAGCTCTACCTCACCATCATCCTACTCATTGTCTCCTTCTCCTGTCGGTTCCTCCTCAACTCCAGGTGAGTCTGGCTTGGTGCTGGGCAGAGTTCTCCTCCCAGAGCCCCCTTGCCCTTCTCTCCCATCCTGGAATATCCAGAGCTGAGCAGGAGGTCCTGGTAAAGCACCTGGACTCTGCTCTGGAGGTGGGGTGGCCTTTGTGGCTGCCGTGGCCATGGTGGGTGGTGGGGAGCAGGTCCCCTCCCTTGGGGGTGGGTGTCCCACAGGATGTCACAGTGCCTGTGTCCCCAGCACGTGCCTTTACACCCTGCTCTGTGTGACCCAGGGTGACAGACGCTGTCTTTAACTTCCTGCTGGTGTGGTACTACTGCACCCTCACCATCCGCGAGAGCATCCTGATCAACAACGGCTCCAAGTGAGTCCCCTGGGCCTGGGCAGGGGGCTGGGCTTTCTCTGCAGGGCTGGGGGACTTGGGACCCATCACAGGGAGCAGCTCCCTCCTACTCAGGATGTGTAGCAAACCCTGCTGGGAGCTGCAGGAGCAGGGCAGGAGGAACCTGGAACCTCCCATGTGGAGGCGGTGGAAGGCGGAGCTGGAAGGGCCCTGGTGCTGCCCAGCCCCGAGGCTCTGGGTCCTGCTCCCAGGACCATTTCCCAGCCAGCCCTGGGAGCTGTGGGGTGGCTGGGCCTGGGCTGCTGCACTCTCCAGGGTGCCTTTGGCTCTGAGTTCATGCTCCAGACGTGACACTGCTTCTCTGTGTCTGCCTTTCAGGATCAAAGGCTGGTGGGTTTTCCATCACTACATCTCTACCTTCCTCTCAGGTGTCATGCTGACGTGGTAAGTCTGTGTCCCCTGTCCCATTGGGGGCTGCCTGGGCTGTGGGCAGCTCTGGCCAAGGGCACATAGGGGCTGTGGGACAGGCAGGGCTGGCTGTCCCCTCCCAGCCCCATGTCCCCCAGCCAGCACCATCTCTCCACAGGCCAGATGGGCTCATGTACCAGATGTTCAGGAACCAGTTTCTCTCCTTCTCCATGTACCAGAGTAAGTGCTACCACACGTGTTGGGACAGGGACTGACCCCCAGGTGCTGAGAGTGCCTGCAGAGCTCTGCAGCACATGGAGACCTGGCTGTAGCTGCTCACAGCTCTCAGCTCACCTGGCAGTTCCCTTGGCCTTGGGTGGCCTTTGTGGGATGATGCTGAGGCTGGGAGGGGATCCCTGGGCAGTTCCTGAGAGCAGCCATGCTGTCCTTGCAGGCTTTGTGCAGTTCCTGCAGTATTACTACCAGAGCGGCTGCTTGTACCGGCTGCGAGCGCTGGGAGAGAGGCACAACATGGACCTGACTGTGGGTGAGTGGGATGCTGCTCAGCTCACTGGGACCTCTGGGTTCTACTGAAGGAAATGGTGACACTTAGATTTGAGGTCACTTTTATCAGTAGCAGGAACAGTAAAAGCAACAAGTCAAACCAAAGGTCCCAGAGCAGTATCTCCTATGGGGCAGCACCACCCCATAGGCTGATTGTCCCCCTCCTGCTCTGCTGGGACCACCAGCCTGGCCTCACATCACCTCAGGATGTGAGGTGTCAGTGGATGTGGTTTCCCCAGGAAGCTCCTTCAGACATGAAACACCCTCCAGCACCCCAGCACTATGGGCTGTCACCTCCCTGGCCCCTGTGACACCAAGGGCAGGAGCTGAGGGCCAGCTCCACCAGAGCCCTGTGTTGCATTAGGAGTCACTGCCACTGTGCCCTCTCAAGTGCCCTCAGTGAGGCTGGAATGGCAGGACTTCCTCAGCCAGGCATGGTGTGGGCACTGAGCCTCCCTGTCCTCCGTGGCTGGAGGAGCTGGGCTCCATCCCCTCTCCACCAGCCCATTCTGGCTCCTCACAGAAACCTTCATCCTTTGCAGAGGGCTTCCAGTCCTGGATGTGGAGAGGCCTCACGTTCCTGCTTCCCTTCCTCTTCTTTGGGCAGGTGAGGCTGCCCCAGTCCTTGCAAGATGCCAGAGCCTCGGGTGGGAACAGGATGTGCCACATTCCCAGCCGTGCTCGGTGGCCTGGACATGGCACAGACCCCACAGGCTGCCACAGCCATGTGATATGGGATGCCTGGGGCAGGGAAATGCTTCCAGCAAATGCTGAGCCTTTCCCTCTGAAGCCCCCAGCACCTCCACAGCTGGGGAAGTGAGATGGGGAGAAGTTGGGGTGGTTCTCCTGAGTGCTCAAGTGCAGAGGGGCTGCAGTGAGAACCCTTCCAAAGCCCTTCTGAGCTCCAGCTTTGAGCTGCTGCTGCTGTAAAGGATCGAGTCCTTCCTCGGTCACATCCTTGGGGCTGATGGCCAAAGGTCTGAGGCTTCCTCATGGCCTTTGGGCTCCAGCTGGCCTGAAACAGGCAGATGTGCCAGCTGGGATCCTCTGGGAAGGAGCCCTCTGGCCTGAGCCTGGATGGGGTTTCACTGCCCCACACGAGGCTGGGGTGGGGTTTATACCCAGAGGTGGCAGCTGGGTGGGTGCCAGCCTGGGGCTGAGCCTCTGAAAGCAGCAGCTCCCCTGAATCTCCTCTGTCCTGCAGTTCTGGCAGCTCTACAATGCCATCACCCTGTTCCGCATGATCCAGCACCCCGAGTGCAAGGAGTGGCAGGTAAGGAGGCTCCTGGGAATGCCCGGGGAGGGGATTGCTCCAGGCAGGTCCCTCCTGCTGACTCCGGCCTCTCCTCCCGCAGGTCCTCATGTGCGGCATCCCCTTCTTCATCCTCTTCCTGGGCAACTTCTTCACCACCCTCCGTGTCATGCACCAGAAGATTCAGAACAAGAACAAGGACACGAAGGAGAATTGAAGAGGGGCAGTGTGGGGGCCTGGACTGTTTCTCCCCACCGGCTCCATCCCCTATTCCCATCTCCTCAATTCCGTCCGGACTCTGGTGTCTCACCCCATTCCCTGGAGGCCCGGGTGTGGGACAGAGCTTGGGGCCTGCTCCTGGACAGTCCATGTGCTCACCACGGGGCTGGAGCCGTGCTGGAGTCACTCGCCTGGAGTCAGGAGCACCCTGCACCTCCTGTCCCGGCTGCCTTCCACATCCAAACAGCAGGAAGATTGGGGCAGCCACTCCCCTCCCTTCTACTGGGATGTTCTCTGGATGTTCACTGGGTCAGGGCAGTGTCCAGGGACTGTCTGACACAGCTCCTGGGGTGCTGTAGGCTCCCCCTTTCCCCCCGCCAGCCCTGCACCCAGGGCAGCCCCCGTGTGTTGAGGGGCAGCCTGGTCACTCCAAGCACAGCCCTGGATTCCAGAGGTGCCCCAGCTCCTCCCTCTCCTTCAATCCACAGGGAAGGGGCAGCTGGGGCACGGGAAGAGTGGGAGCAGCAGGAGCCTGGTCCAGGCCTCACACTGGAGCTGTGCAAGCAGCACCCTGGGCTGGCACGTGTGAAAATAAAGGGAAGGAGCTGCCCTGGGGTACCGGGACAGTCTGGGAACAGCTTCCACACTCTGTGGCTTTGGTTCATCTGGAAGTGGGTCCTGACACAACCTCCCTGAAAGGAGGGTGGAAGTCAATAGAACAATTGTCACAACTGGACAAGAGAAAACAGCCTCAGGTTTCACCAGGGGAGGTTTAGATGGGATATTAGGGAACATGTCTTCACTAAAAATGGTTGTCCAGCCCTGGCAGAGGCTGCCCAGGGCACTCGTGGAGTCACCACCCCTGCAGGGATGTAAAAGCCATGTAGATGTGGCAGTTGGGGACATGGTTGAGTGGTGGGTTTGGCAGTGCTGGGTTAAGGGTTAGACTTGGAGGGGTTTTCCACCCTAAACGAGCCCATGATTTTATGGAAAGTCATTTCCCTGTGCCCTTCCACCAGCCTGGACTGCAGCAGGGGCTCCTTCCCATGGCACCCCAGTCTGCACAGGCTGTGGCCAGAACTGTGGGCACCCAGGAAGCCCAGCAGAACCTCAGTGTTGCTGGAGGTGGGCAAGATACACCCTGTACCAGCACTGGGAGCTCTGGAAGAACCAAAGAGCAGGTTGGGCACAGCTGCACCCCAGTCCAGAGCCCCCCACTGCCATCCTCCCTCCCCTCCCACAGCCCAGCACTCAGGGTCAGGGCTGCCCCCAGCTCAGCCTAAACCCAGAGCTGCCACCACATCCCCAAATGCCCTCCTAGTTATCATCCATTGCTCCTCCTGCCTTCTTCCCTCTGGCTGAGCAGAGAGAATGCAGGAAGCAAACTCCAGACACAGCATTTTTATTCCAAGGGCAAATGTATTTAAATAATTTACAATCATTGGACAGCCTGAAAGTCTGGGGGTTGTGTTGTTCTTTTTTTTTTTTCCCATGCTTTAAATCACAAATATGTTCAAAATAAAAACAGTATTTAAAAAATGACCGTTCACGGTATGAGGGAGGGGCTGGGCTCAGGGGAGCTGCCGGGCCCCAGGGAACAAGCAGGGCCCCTGTAGGCTGAGACCCCGCCTCCCAAACCGGCTGAATTCCAGAGGAGAGGAGCTTCCCGCTGGTGCTGGAGCAAGGGTGGGCAGTGGGAATGGAGCAGGAGATGCTGGTGGGGCCATGGGACAGCTCTGTGCCCAGAGCCAGCTGCCAGCCCCACATCCCAGAGCTGGGCAAACAGGGGTGGCAAAGCCTCAGTTCCAGCCCCAGCACAGCCCCTCCAGCCCTCTGCTGTCCCTGCAGGCCAGGGTGGGCTCCAGTCCGGGGATAAGGCAACACCTCATGTTCAGGGCAAGATTCCCTGGCAGTGTCAGTCCCTCCTGCCCCACAGTGGCCGTGTCCCTGATGTCCCTCAAGGCAAACGCTGGTGCCATGGGGTGCACCCTAAGGTGCTGGTGGCACCACAGCTCCTGGACAGCAGCCTGAGCTACCCCCCTGCCCCTCTCAACCCTTTGCACCCCCTGGATCCACAGCGTGCCCCGAGGGGCTGCTGAGGCCCAGGAAGGGTTGGGAGTGGCACTGGGGTAGCCGTGGGCTGGGGACAACACTGTCACCCACAGCAGCAGTGGGCGAGCAGGCACTTGCCAGCTCCCCTGGCCCATGCCTGGGGACCTGTTCTCTCCCCGGCCCCGCCAGCCCCGCTCTTAGCTCCACACATCCAGGGAGTAGCGGCCCTTTGTCATCAGTTTCTTTACATAGTCCACGGCCTGGGGCTGGCTCATGTTCCCAAACTCGGACACGATCTCGTAGAAGGTGTTCTGCACATCCCGGGCCATGTTCCGGGCGTCGCTGCAAACGGGGAGCACGAGTGAGACACGAGTGAGACACCACAGCACGGCCACCGAGCCCTGTCACCTCCCACCCTGCACACACAGGGTGTGCTCACCCCAGCCCCCAGGACAGCATAACCCTCCCAGGGCTTGTGATGCACAGCTGGGGAAACTCAGTCACACTCCTTTTCCTAAGAATAGGAATGTTGCCCCCAAATCCCTGTGCTGTCCCCAGACCTACCCGCACACATAGATGTGAGCCATCCCCTCGTTCAGCAGCTTCCAGACGTTCTCCTTGTTCTTCTTCAGTAAGTGCTGGACATAAACCTGGCAGGAAACAAGGTGGGAGTGAGGAGAGAGGAGCAGAGCTCCCACACCACACTTGAGGGAAGGCAAGGCTGTGCTCATGGCTCTGGGAGACAGGGAAGTGCTGGGTGTTCCTGCTTGCCATGGAGGTCATGGTGGGCAGCAGGAACAAATGGCAGGAGGAACAGTGTGGTACCTTCTCAGCCTGGTCCCTGGAGAAGGCCACGTTGAGCTGGGTGAGGACTCCCTCCTTCTGGAAGCGGGCCAGCTCCTCCCGGTACAGGTAGTCCTCGCGCTCGTGGCGGCAGCCATAGTACAGCACTGTCTCGCCCACCTCTTTGCCTGCAGGGTCACACAGCCCCCATCAGCTGGGCCCTGCCAGTCCCCAGCCCTGTCCCCTCCCCTTGTCCTGACACCCCCGGCAGCCCCCAATGCCGTGCTCTCCCCCACCCTGGGCTTGCAGAGCTGCACGATGGTTTCTGGTTACAAGAGGAAACTCGGGACTGATTCCCAGAAGCGGCCACAAGCTTTAGAATCGACTCTGTGACCTGACTGTGGTTACTTGGAGGTGTGGTGGTGGCAGAGGTCAGAGAAGTGCCCCAGGTCTGTCCACCCCCAAACATCCTCTGTGGCCAAGAGAAGGACACAACCACTCAACTCTGCTCACCCTGCCCCACCACTCTGCTCTTGGCTGGGCCGACCAGCAACAGGAGCAGCAAAGCTGCACCCTGCAGGCACCAACTGGCCCCACAGAGCCCTGCAGCAGCCCCTGGGGGAGCTGCGGGGCACTCACCTTGCTGCTTCAGCCAGGCCCGCTCCTGGATGAAGCCGATGAAGGGGGCGATGCCAGTGCCCGGTCCGATCATGATCACGGGAGTGCTGGGCTTGAAGGGCAGCCGGAACTGCGACTTGCGCACGTACATGGGCACCAGGGAGCTGCTCCCGTTCTGCTCAGGCACCTTGTTCTTGAGCCAGTTGGTGGCCACCCCTTTGTTCAGGCGGCCCGTCTTGGTCTCGTACTCCACCGTGACAGCACAGATGTGGATGGAGTTGGGATGAACCTGCAAGGAAGAGATGCTGGAACCAGGCAGAGAAGGAGCCCCAGCAACCCCACACTGCTTCCTTGTGCTCAGGAATGGGGAGAGGTTTAACCTCATGTTAACACTGCGACAGCTAATCCTCCCTGTGTGCTCCTCATGGGGTTTCTGTCTTGTCCTCAACTCATCACGGGACCACTGAGCTTCCCTGCAAGTTGTCAAGAGTGACTTTTGACCAGTCCCTAAAGTGCCACCTTGCCAGGCAAACGGAAAAAGAGGAGCATGGCTCCAGAGAGTGTGGTGGTATCAGGGCACAGCTGGCTGCAGCATGGGACTCTCCACAGACCCTGTGGGAAGCCGGGATAACTCCATGCATGGAGATCACTAAATCTGCCCCTCTCATAGCAAATGTCACCAGGAGAAGTTCCCCATGTCCAGCTCCCAGCTGAAGGGAACTGCAGCTGAAGCAGCCCCTCCACAGCCACATTCCCTGCTGGAACCACACCCACCTTGGAGGAGGAGGCAATGGAGTAGTAGCGGGCCTGCAGGCGGGGCAGCAGCTCACACAGGTGATCGATGGGGGGGCGCAGGGAGGGCATGTCCTGCAGGATGGCCAGGATGTTCCTGCGGGCCTCCACCACCCAGCTGAGGTACAGCGCCTGCAGGAAAGGAGGACACAGGGGGCATCACAACCTCTCCACACGGCTGCCAAACACCCCCTGAACTCTCTGGGTGCCTTCTGGGGCTCCCCCAGCCCAGCTCAGCCCAGGGAAGGGCAGTGCCCCACCTTGCCCTCGGCAGCAGACGAGGCCATTTTGCGGAGGCGCTCCTGCTCGCCCGCGTCCGTGGCGTACTGGGCCAGCTCGTACAGCACGTTGGTGCGGGGAGGGTTGGTGATGTCCAGGTAGTAGGTCAGGGCTGTTCGGTATGATGTGGGGCAAGGGAAGGGATGCTTCTTGTTGGATTCCTCTGGAGAAGTGGGGAGAGAAAGACAAATTCAAAACTATCTACCTTCTGCTGTTATATTAAGGGGTTTTGTGACAGCTGCTGCATGCAGTGAGGGCTGGAGACAGAGCAGGGTGGGCTTCAGGGAGGAGAGAACAGCCTGTGGGTCAGAGCCCCAGCTCCACACTGAATCACCTCCCTCCCCAGGCAGTTCCATCTCCCAGTAGCCCATTCTGTGTTTCACAGATGCTGTCTGACAGTTTAGCAGCAAAAAATACACCCTGTGTTCCCCAAGGGGCTCCCTGCCCCGAGATGTGCATGCACAGCCCAGCAAGCCCCCAGGCTAAGCAGGGGGCTGCCCTCCATGGCTGATTTGGCCTCAGGCACTTACACCTCCATGAGATCTGGCCTCAAAAGTGTCCTTAGGCTCTGTCAGCCACACACAGCTGCGCCAGCAGTCAAGGCTGGAGCCATTCTGTTCAGGAATGACAGCACGAGGCTGGACAGCACAGGACACTGCACAGGGGGCCACGGGCTCCAGCAGTGCATTAAATCCACTTCCTCTCTAGAAACCAGGAGCTCTCTCAAGTTTCTGGGCCAGCACATCTGCTGCCTCAGGTCTGGCTGTGCTGCACTGGAGTGTGATGGGCAGCAGCTGCCATGTCCCTCCTGCAGAGGGCTGGCTCTGCTGGGAATGCTACCCAGGAAGAGCTCTTTGGATCAGCACAAGTGCTCCCTGCTGGCAGTTCAGTCCCCAAGCCTGTGCCTCCTCCCAGGACTGAATAAGAACATCTCACACACTCAGGGCCCTGAGGAGCTCCGGGGCTGCTGAGGGATGCTCTGGTGGGCTGATGCTCCATAATTAGGAGTGTGCTGTTACATAATTTGTTGTTCAATGGGCTCACTAAGCACATTTCACAACTGACCCACTTCAGCTGATCTCAGCAAGCAGGCTCTGAGCCCCTGCTAAAACAGCAC